TGGGCTTTCGGCTTAGCTGTAGGCGTTTGAGCTGTTTGCGGCGTGGATGCTTTCTGGTTTAGGGTTTGTTGGGCTGGAACTGCTTAGAGTCTTTAAGGTTTTGGATCAGGGTTGCCCTGGAAAGGTATGTGTCCTTTTAGGCCCATGGGTGCATCGTCGGCATCAAAGCAGGAGCACCTACTGGCAGGTGAAAGCTCCGACATTCAAGTGATTCATCAGCTTTGTACGTGTACAAAAATTTGTGCAGACAGTGAACTATGAGATATTTCCTGATCGATTTGCCTCTTTTGGGGGAAGTCCAGCCCGGTTGCAGCCCTCAGCTAAACCATCTTCATTCAATCCAAAGGCTTCCCTGCCATAATTTCCCAGCTGAGCCGAAAGGGCCGGGATCCTCAGCTCGAGCCGGAACCCCGAAGTTTCGAGCCCTCCTTTTGCTTTTGCTTCAGAGAGCAAGGAGCTCTGGAAATATCCAGCCCCGCCTATCCTCCTATAAGAGCATGCTCTTGGAGATCCCGAACTGGCCCTAACCGTGTAGAATCTGTGGGATTACCATAGGGGCCTTGAAAAATTACCTATACTACTGTGGGGGTTCCTTGTTATGAAATTAAAGGGAACTCCAGAAAGTTGGAATATGGATTAGTGGTCGGATCCCCTATAATTTACCTTAAAGGGGTTACGATAATGATATTCCAAGTTTCTGGCTTCTACTTTATAAGTATAGCATGAGCCCCGAAGCCGAGGACCTCCGTGGCTCCGGCTCCTTGGCTGCGTTTTTTTTTTGTTGGTGTTGTCCGGCGAGTATAGGGGCCTTAACAGTTAGAATAGGGTTTTGGGGCCCCTTATACTATGGTTATAATAACGAGCCTCCAAAATAGTATAGGTACTTATTTAGGCCCCTATATTAGTGCCGAAAGAGCAGAGCTGAGAATGGTGGGTGTTTGTAAGAGATCATGCACTGTTTGGGGTCAACCTTGGGAGTTGCTGGCAGCGGTTTGGGGTTCAAGAACAGGTCGGAGCGATCAGAAAAATAGATTCAGCTTAAGGCATTTAGTTGAGATCGGCGCCATGGACGGTCCCATGATCCGGAAAGGCTTCAAAAGCCTCAACGATGCCTCCGCCTCGATAGTGCAGAAGCTCGACTCATCGCCATGAAGCACGCGACGGCAAGCCAGGATAGGAAACTGGCGCCGCCAGTTTCCTATCCTGGCTTGCCGTCGCGTGCTTCATGAGCTGGCCAGAGAACTGGGCCGGCCCACTTACCAGAGCCAGACCTCCAACTCGAACTCCAACAGGCAGTGGTCCAAGTGGAAGGGCCAGTGGTACCACTGGCAAGACGGGGGGTGGAAGAAGTTGTAAATGTCGAACTGAAAGGAACGAAAGTGACAAGGCCAGTGTCATTGTTACACGATTTGCCTGCATCACTCTCCCTGGAGCTGAAGTTCTTGGTGCATGCGGCCACCGTTTCAATGAATTTCCTGAATTCATTCCTTACCTTGTGAGCGCGGAGCTCTGAGCATGTCTCTGGCATGGGTGGCGAAGGACTAGAGACTGTTCTGAATGCTACACGTCGTCCCTCGCTAGTCGGAAATGTCTTCCTTCCTTTGCAGCGTCGTAGAGCTGGAGTCCAGCTCTACGACGCTGCAAAGGAAGGAAGAGGATGTCACATGCGCATCCTGTCCCTTGCCTGCTATTGAGATCCATGGAGTACTGTGCTCTTCCTGTTCTAGCATGCGTCCATAGCATGTTAGCTAGCTTATTGCTTCGCACAGTCCTCGCACGCGGATCTCATTGGGCTATCGTGTGATGCCTTGTCATATGCTGGGTGGTACGTGGTGGTTTAGGTTCTTACACGATGCAATTGGTGTCTGTTGAACCAGCACACGATCACGAGCCCTCAGAGTGTTATAGTTCGGACTTGTTGCCTGGAATCCATGCCTGCCTTGTGCGAGCTTGCGAGTCGAAATCGAAATCTGTGCTGGCTGCTCTAGCTGCTCCGCTGATGGGGCCAGTTGTGCCTTACTGAGGGCTTATCTGACACACGGCCTCGCAAAGCATCAGTTAGATCTAGCTTTAGAGAGCTGGAGATGAAGAGCTGATGAGATGGAGGCAAAGCCCCAGGGCTGAGGCTCTGGGTAGGCCTCCAAAGCTGCATGCCAAGATGTCTGTCTGGTTTTTGGTTTCGGGGCACGTCTAGATGTCTGTAGATTCGAAAGGGCCTTGTGGCCCCCAGTCACCGTGAACCCTCCAGGTCAAAGGACACGGGCTGCAACATGCCTTTTTCTGCCCAGGAGCAACGCATCGCAGATGCCTCACCCAACGCAAGTGGCTCAGCACTGGGGGACTGTGGTTTGTGTGTTCAGCACGGGTAGTAAATGCACATTTTAGTCGGGATTTCAGTTTTGTCAACTTGTCTTTACTCAGAAGCAGGTTGGGCGGCACAGTTGGAACGGTTGTCCCAGTAGCTTTGCAGGGCACATGTAGATTGACTATAGATTGTATGTAGATTTTGGTGCGTTGGCTGCCAACTAAGCAGTCAAGGGTTTTCTACTTAGGGCTAGGCCGCATGTATAGATCTGCTATGTCTATTGTCTAGAGTGTATAACACGTCAGAATAGCTCTTCCACTCAAAAGATGCTTCTTGCTGAATTCCCATGAGTTGGATTTGAGGGCTGAGGATTGATTCAATAGAGAGGTTGACTGCTCGGATGCTTTGCCAGTTCAGGTGCCACGGAAGGAATAAGGGTTTAGGACGTAGGGTTGGTAGGTTCATTTTGAAATTATCTTCGTTATGGTACGGAATCTTGGCAGAAACTATAATTGTATTCCCAACCTTTCCACGTAAAGCTTCAACTCAGCACCTCCAGTCGAGTATAAGCACTTGCTACAGCTTTTCGGAGTTCCAAGAGGGAATTTGAGACGATGCGCGGGCAAAAGTCTAAGCAGGAAGCCAGACCCACGGGTTAATGCACGGTTTAGGGTTTAGGGTTTAGGATGATAGTCATAGTTAGGATTTGATCTCCGACTTCTCGTGAACACACGAAGCAAACCCGCGGTCCCATTGGCTGTTTGAACCTGCCGAGAGACTCGATCGGGAGAGCTCTTGTGGGTTCTGCTGGTTGCATTTTTGGTTTATTGATTTTGTTGGACTTGTCAGTTCCTAAACCCTTCCGTCAGAGATGCAAGCAATCCTTGCCGAGACGATCGCCACGCAAGCTCGGCCACACACCGTGCGGCCCCTTGCTATTTGTGTCAGTCAGTGCTGCAGAGGAGACTGACTTGCGGTTTGAGGGCGGGTTTGAGTACCCGTGGCCGCAAATATCACAATGTTAGAGAACACAGTCACGAGTAGCAACAGCAGTGCCAATAGCAGCAGACTACTAGCAACGCCAGTAGCAGTAGCGAGTCTGAGGATGATGCTAGTAATATACTAATATAGCATATCAACTACGGATGCACGATAATTTTGTTATTTGTCTGCTTGCATATACGACGCATAAACAGAAGTATAGTTGTGACTCGATCTCAAGGTTTTGTACACTGATGCAGCTCCCGTGTCGACGGTCGGTTGTATACTGTATAGACATGCAGGCACCGCAGTGTCTGATCACGGCTTGCATGCACCAGAACGCGTGCATCACAGTTCCGCGTTTCAATGCTGGTATGACAGAATTCCTCAGGGCTCTTTATTTTAATTGCACTATTGAAGGAGCCCAAAACAGCATGTTGAATTATGAAGGCCCCTATACACTCCGTCCTCGCTTCATCTGAAAGGCCTGGAGAGCAGCGCCTTCGCCGCAGAGTGGGTCCGAGCCATCTCCGCTGTCGGATGTTCGGGACAGCAGGGTTTTTGTTGCATGTAGGGCCATGTAGGGTTGAGGGTAAGGGTGAGCGGGTTAAGGCTTAGACTTTTAGGTTGCTGGCCAATGTACCTGAGGACAGGGAATCACGTGCAAATACTGTGGGGCTACTTGTAGCTGCCGCGGCATCCGCCGTCCCGAAAGTTCTTTCCGGCGCTGGCTGCTTCAGAACAGACAAAAGTGACAGGTTTTTCACAGGCCCTTCCTGACAGAAAACCTAGACCATTTATCCCGAATTCCGCGACCGCCCTTTCATGGGAGGCATGGCCTGTTCTCTCCAACACCCGCTGTATCCTCCCGAGCTGGCCGCAAGTTTAAGAGCTCAACATTGAAGGACCCACGGGCGCCCCCTGTCACATCGCAGCTCAGCAAGTCCAGCCAAGAGACGGCCAACGGTGGCGAGGCAGAGTCCTGAGATTCGAAGCAGCATGATGTAGGGGCCTTAAGGGTTTTGGGGGCCGGGTTTGGGGGTATATATTATACTATAATAATGAGGAACACCCCCAAACTCTATTCTAACTACTAAGGCCCCTACATGTTCAACCTTGCCTGCTTGTCGGCTTGTGCTCGAAGTCGAAACTAACCGACTTTATCAGGTTTGAAGTTTAGGGGCTGATGCTGAAGAGGAAGCCGATTCCACGCGCCGCGTCGAAGACGAGGCAACGGGGCAGAGAGCACTTGCTGGTATGGTGCATGTCTTTACTGTATGCATGAATGAATGAATGTATGTATGTATGTATGTTTGCATGCATACGTGCATGCATATGCTTATGCAGGCACACACATACATTACATACATGCTTGCGTACGTGCAGACATACATACCTACCCTCACACGTAGTAACGGCATTTCATGCGTGTGTACCCACACCATCACTGTCACATCAAGCATATGGCGTGTGTACATTATGTGTATACATATGTATATGCTACATTGGTGGCCAACAAACTCAGCAGCCCCAGCATACACTTTCATCAGTCTCTCGGTTGTGATGAGAGCTTCGATGATGATTGAACGCTTTGGGAGGGATTTTGATTCTCGACCAATGCAGCGGCGATCGGCAGACTTGTGCACCCGTGAAGCATTTCGGCTGAAGTATCGTGTTTTTCAAAGCCGCTTTCTGCCACACAGTTCGGCGAAAGATGGGAAATTCCGCCAGCCAAACCAAAGGCCTGATCAAGCCTGATGTGATAACGAAGGCGAGGCACTGGGCGTTCAATGGTCCCTATGCGCCGGTACATGAGGAAGTCTTTGCGGAGCTCCCGTTGCCCGCAGGGGTTACCCTTCCTAAAGACCTGGAGGGCGCCTACGTGCGGAACGGGCCGAACCCATGGTGGAATCTACCGAAGGAGGATCACAGCTATCACTGGTTCCTCGGAACTGGGATGGTCCATACCGTCAGGCTGAAGGATGGCAAGGCATGGTACAACAATCACATCCTTCGGACGAAGAATTTCAATGCCGAGCAAAGGACGGGCGGTCCTCACTGGGACAAGATCGCCAACTCAACCTCCATGCGAGAGTTCCTGGTTTCTTTGGTGTTGGAGAAGATCGGCCTCCAACGTGGTACCCTCAGTGGCCCGAGCAACACGAACTTGGTATATCACAGCTCCAAGCTCATGGCCTTGTCTGAAGGCGACATGCCCATGGAACTCCGTGTACTACAAGATGGGAAGATGGAGTCGGACGAGAAGTACCTGTACAAAGACATGTGGAACGCGCATCCCAAGATCGACCCTGTGTCGGGAAAGCTCTACTGGCTCGACTACGACGTCTCGGGCCTCAGCCCCAAATTCTCCTATGGTGTGATCTCCCCCGATGGCACGCAGGAGCGCTCCTGCACTGGCACGATGGGCGGGGGCAAGTCGGTCATGATCCACGACCTGGGAATAACAGAGCAGTATGCGCTTGTGATTGATGCCCCGGTCCTTGTGAACGTCGAGAATTTCACCTCGGAAAAGATCCTCTGGAAGTACGAGCCGTCGCACGGCACTCGCATCGGCATTTTCCCGAAGGATGGCGAGAGCGGGGAGGTCACGCCCACATGGTTCGAGATCGAAACATGCTGGATCTTCCACGTTGCCAACGCCTGGGAAGAAGGCGACACGGTCGTACTAGTAGTTGTCCGCTGGGACGGTATCGACATGTCTGGGCACCCAGTGAAGGAGGATCTTCTGAAACCGGGCTTTGACAAGAAGATGTACCAGTACCGCTTCGACATGAAGAACAAGACCGTCGCCGAGAAATGCCTGTTCTCCGGCTTCGCGTCCTTGGAATTCCCTGTCGTCAACCTCAAAGGGATGGGTCGGAAGTGCCGATACACCTGGGCCGCTGGCAGCTACGAAGGGGAGCCCAACTTTCATCGCATTTTCAAGTTCGACCTGGAGAAGGGGACCAGCTCCAGCTACGCCTGCTGCGACCAGAGCGGGAAGAAACTCACCGCCGGGGAGGCGTTCTTCACAGGCACTGGCGACGCCGAAGACCAAGGCTACCTGGTGACATACCTGGTAGAGCCGGATGGCAACGGGCCCTCCAGCTTCCTGGTGATGGACAGTGCCAACTTGGAACCCGTTTGTCAGCTCCCGTTGCCTGTGCGAGTCCCATTGGGGTTCCACGGTATCTGGATTTCCGACCAGCAGGTGCAGGCGCAGATCAAGTAGAGGTGGCTGTCCACTTTCAAGTTTCAACCGAAGTAAAGCCTGCAGATGGTCACACTCCCATAAGAAGCACATGTTGATAACCACCCAGGAGGAGTCTGCAGTTCGTCGTGGGTATGGGGGTGTGTTTTTTCAACCCTAAGCCCTAAGGCCACAACCTGCCACAAAACCGTGAACACGAAACCCTCGCACCTCGACAAATCTGGGGAAGTGCGCCCGGGCACTGGCAAAAGCCAAAGCCCTCTGGCAGGCACGAGCCCGAGTTTACAGTTGAGAGATTTGTGGGCCCGGTGCCGCTTTTTGCTTGGAAGGGTGGCTCAAGCCAAGGCCCCTTTTTGCCATTGCTTATCACGGTCTTGTCCACAGGGAGGAGCTCCGGTTGGCAGATTCTGGGGGGTCTTGTTGGTATGTCAACTTCAGATGACCACAAACTGTAATGCTGTATCCATCCCCTCATAGTCCCTACATAAGCATGGTAAGATATAGGACACCCCGAAAAGTAAGACGAACACCCCAAAACTCTCCTTTGAACAATTGAGGCCCCAAGATCATGAGGAATCGGAGACCTCCCTGGAGTCTTGGGGTGAGGTTCCGTGCATCGGCTGCGCTATGGCCATGGGTCAGAACGCCGACACACAGGCGGTCAGGCTGCATGACAAGACGGACCATTCACAGACTGGGAGCGAAAAGAAGGTCGGTGATGTTCAGTTTTTGATTTGTGCTTGAGGGTTACAGGCGTTGGGATTATAGGCTTAGGCGTTTAGGATCAGTCCTGAAATTATGATTCAGCCGTTACTTCCACTTTGGGATTCGTGGGCTGCGGCTCCTAATGGAGAGTAAGTAGGGCTTTGCTGGTTCAAAGTTGATATACTGTCATACTGTACACCTTATCGCAGAACCCTACACCATAGTATATTGTTTTGACGCTACTTGATATTTCGTTAAATTAAATCGCGAAGGCGTCTGAGCTTACATAGGCTTAGGGCTCGGGTCCCCAACCCAAAGCCCCAAACACCCTCAACTCCAAATCCCCAAGTTCCAAGCCACGAGCCCACACATGGCAAACTACCCTCTACACCTTAAGCCGCCGCAAGCCTCCAAGCAGCCCTTTAAACTTACCCTCTAAACCCTATAAATCCTGAACCCTAAACGCCCGAACCTCTGCGGGCTCAACCCCCCTTCACCCCTAAACCCGAAGAGTTTCAAGTCCCAAACTCTGAGCCTCCAGGGCCCTCGCGTGGACGCTGGTCCGAACGGGCCGACAAACTTCTCGCCGCCCCGGCGGGTTTGGAAGCATCTCATTCGGTTTTTTTGGATTTCAATTTGATATTTTGGAATAGTATAGTATAGTTTAGTTTAATCTAGCGCTTTAATTGGGTTTCGGAGTTGCTTGGGTAGACGGTTTTTCGGGCTGTCAGACCTAGGGATTGTAAGGTGCTGGGGTTCAGAAGTTGAGGGCTGCGAGGCTTCTTCCGAGTAGAGGCCCTGTACTTGGGAAAACCCAGGCCCTAAATGCTGAACCCCACTCCAAGGCCTTAAACCCTAAACTTTAAAACTTAGAGACCGCGAACATGAAGTAGTAGACCTTTAGGGTCTTCATAGTACCAGTACAAGCGGACTCAAGCTGTCGGGGCATATTTAGTGTTCCAGATTTTTCATTCTGATCACTGGTGTTGTTTCTCTTCGTGGGCGAGCGGTGTTTACTTGTTTGGGGTTGTGGTTCGGTGGAGGCGGAGGCCGGTCATCCAGCTTTCTTGAGGTTCTTAGCGAGGTTTCAAGCTTCAAGTTGTGGTCTAGCCTGGAAGGGTCGCATGAAGTGCTGGCGTGTGTAATTAAGGGTGTGACGTCATTATTGAACACACCCCAACGGAACCCTGACGCGATGAAGGCACCGACTGCGAAACCCCAACAGCCCCGAACCGAAACGCTGAACCCTGAAAGCCCGCATCCCGAAAAGCCTCAAAGCCTAAAGGCCTAAAGGCTGTAAGCCCGAACCCCTGAACCGCTCAGGTTGACGACACCCGCTAGCCCCACCCTCTCCCTGGACTCGCCCTCTCCCAGGCAGACGATCCTCACCTGGTTTGTGGAGGACCGGGCCATGGGTTGAGCACGCATCTTCAGTGCAGGCAAGGCTTTTAGGGTAACAAATAGGAGTTGGACCTTGTATCGCAACTCCACAACATGTTTCCTACTACCACCTCTACCACCACTACTACTACTACTACTACTACTACTACTACTACTACTACTACTACTACTACTACTACTACGACTACGACGACTACTACTGCTACTACTACTACTACTACTACTACTACTACTACTACTGCTACTACTGCTACTACTGCTACTACTGCTACTACTACCACTACGACTACTACTACTACTACTACTACTACTACTACTACTACTACTACTACGACGACTGCTACTACTGCTACAACTACTGCTACTACTACCACCACGACGACTACTACTACTACGACGACGACTACTACTCCTCCTCCTATTGCTACCGCTACTGCTACTGAGGCTGCTACTGCTGCTCCTGCTCTGCTACTGCTTCGTCGACGGCGACTGCTACCATTAATACAAACAGTATTATTGCCGCTACTACTCCTGCTGCTGCTGCTGCTGCTACGACGACTACGACGACGACCACCACCACCCCCACCACCACCACCACCACCACCACCACCACCACCACCACCACCACCACCACCACCACCACCACCACCACCACCACCACCACCACCACCACCACCACCACCACATCCTAACCACAAGTGCAACTTCGAGGACCCTCGGGACGGCTCCTACCAGATGTTCTCCAAGGCCTCCTGGCCATGCTGGATTAAGTGACCCTCCAAACTCCCAAAGACCGTAGACGCGCTAACCCGTGAACCCCACACGACCTTCCAAGCCGAGGCCATCTATCCACCGTGAATGAACCCTAACCCGAGGCATCTGTGCACCTTTTAGAGAAGCCTGGGAGCCCCGGAGGGGAGGTTTCTGGCCTTCGGCTGCAGGCATCTTGCTTTCTGGGATGGGCAGGCTTTAAACTTACTTTAAGCCCAGCCTGGCACAAGACGGGTCTCAGGGGTGGCGCTGATGATTTTTGAAGGCGCTTTGGCGTTTATGGAGCTCCAGGTTGAGAGGTTCGTCAGGGTGCATCCAACGCCTGCGCCTTGGGGATCTGCTGACCTCCTGATCTCAGACCTTAACTCTGAACACGTTCAACACATGGGTGGTTGTCAAAATTAGGGTTCCCTTTTGGGTCCTTATTATAATACGGCACCTATTATTTAGTGTACCCAAAAAGGGACCAGAATTTTGACAACCACCCACATGAATCTGCACACAAAACCTGCCTGAACCCGAAGCTGCCAGGGGAAGCCGAAGAGGCTACTACCCAGATGTACGCACTACTTCGATGGCCATGAGGCGCAAGTAGCCTGAAGCCTTCATCTTGGGCTTTCGTAATGATGGTGGTGGTGATGCTGATGGCGGCAGTGGCTCTGATGGTGTTGACGGATCGTGATGTTTCGACTGTCAGAGTCTTGCTGGTGGCTCGTTTGGCATAATTCCGGTGGTCTGGCGGCTGTCTTGGGATGTCTGGCCATTGAGCCTTGAAAATACATGCAGTGCATGGCATCCACTTTGATGCACTGGGATTATTCGGGGTCAGGATTCCAGCTACCAAGTTCACGGTCTAGGGGCTTTGGGTTTGGGTGTTTAAGGTTTAGTTGAATTAGGGCGGCCTCTCCCTACAAGTTGTACCGCAAGCGATCTTCGGAACTTGTGCATTCTTTGTCTTACCACACAGTTCCTTCTGTGGCTGCATCCTTGCATCCTAGAAAACTCGACTGGAACACGTTCACTACTGCATTCATGAACCCTGATTTCTGCAACCTTAAGGCCAATCCCTGAAAATTAAGCCTGAGAGCCTGAGAGCGCAACGCAGGTGCTTCCTTTGACGGAGGAAGACAAGCAGTGCCTGACCAGGCCGGGTGGGCTTCCTCCGTTTCGCACTTCACGTGAACTCTCCAGCCGTGTGGCTCAAGAAGTAATGCCATGGGCATTGTGTTGCAAGCGAAGTATGCCGAATCTTGTAGGGAAATCGGACCTGCAGTCCTTAGATAAATAAGAGAGTCCAGTTCAAGAGCTGTCAAGACGAGAGGCTGACAGACCAGGAGCGAAAGTGTACTCACAAAATACTGCAGAAGTTGGGCGTTGCGCCGGAGATTGGCGCCTCCAAGAATCTTCCAGCGCTATGCCCAACTTCTGCAGCCCAAGACGCCTCCAGGAGAAAGAAGGTGGCGAAGGTGGCCACTTCCACCGTCCAAGAGACTCCGCACGATCTACCGCATCCCCCTAGCCGAAGCATCCCGCCGAGCCGGACATGTGCGCGGAGCACGGGACGGCGATTGACGAACATGCATGAGGTCAAGGCGTCGGTGGACCAGCTGACCTGGGAGCAGCACGACTGCTTGATTGCCATTTAGTGGTGGATTTTGACCATGAAGCCCGGCATTACATGATTCTCATGTCGTACCACGCGATTCCATTCCTTCGACTGTTGCTGGCGTAGGAATGAGCACTTAAGAGCAAGATCTTGCCACGCAGTCGCAGGAATAGGCATGTTTCGCCAGTGAGTGCAATATGTTGTCACAACAAATCATTCGGTAAGCCATAGCTGGGCAGCTCTCCCATGGCTATAACTCTTTTGCGGGTATTTGCATCCAGTTTTTGAGCAATCCTCACATGAACATGAACAACCATGCAGTCTGCGTGTTGCCACTGTCTGAGAGGCTGGTTCTCCAGTGGAAGGCCAGAGGGTGCAACGTTGTGATTGTGTCGAACAAACTACAAACTACGAGTACCATCTTGACGTCGTGCACCATTGCTTCAATGATGATTCCCAGAACTACTCCTGCGACCTAGGACTGCGACGGGATCACAATGACAGCCACTGCTACTTCTGGCTACCGCTACTGCCGCTG